GACGCCTTCAGGCACCCTCCGGCAGCCGCTCGAAGTGCGTTTTATTTTTAGTACAGAACCTCCCGATTAAATTATCGCACGCGCAGGCAAAACCAACCTCCCGGCGACAGAAGGGAAGAGCTGCTTTTATTTTCATGACAAGCGTTTTTACACCGTTGTAAGCCAGAGACAATGTGTTTCACGTCCTGCCTGCCCACGCGGTCACCCCCACCGGCCCCAACCGCGGGAACAGCCCCGGCCCGCGCCCGCTGGGCACCGCAGCGCCCTGAACCCTCAACCCGCAGGCGGTGAACGGTGATTCACGGCTGTTCCTACTTCGCCAGCAAAATAACTCATTCCAATACGTGTAGGAAATTCCAGGAAAGCCATAAAAATTACTGAATGAGTGAATTAATTGTAATTTTTCATCGGTGGTCCAATGTAGCCGTGCAGATTGCTGACCTCTACCCAAGTCTGGTTAAAGACAAGAAAAATGCTACTCTCCATCCATTTGCAGGTATCTGAACACGTCCACAAAGGCAAAAAAACAGTTCCCTGGCCATGAGGGACTTCAATTTAAATTGCAGAACAAGGCGATGTACAGGCTAAATCTTCCCGTTCTTTCCCATCTTACTTGCGAAAAACAAATATGCTGAACACCCATATTCAATAACTCGGTTCCTTAATATTACAGGAAAATATTACCCAGATCTAAGCCTGCTATAGAAATAACTAAAAAATTACTATGATGGGAATGTTTATGCTAAATACTTTCTGTACACATGTATCTAATCCATGTTGGCCGTAAACAGCTTTTGCAGGAGACCGCAGCCTTTTTTGCAGAAAGTCACTGTCTTGCTAGTCCTCCTTCATACAAACCACTGTATTTAAAAAATGACATGTCTGCTAATTTTAGCATGGCTGAAAGAGACTGCTGCTGCTTAACTGTAAAGCACATGTTATAAATTTGAAGTCACTTAACGTTCCGTACCAATTAGAAATAGCTAATGATTTGTAAAAACAAAGTAGCTGACAATGAAATAACTAATGATTTGTTAAGAAAATGGCTGACAGTGGTTTGTGTGTTTGCAAATTAGTATTTTTGTATGAAATATAAGGGGGAAATGAGTAAAAGTACTTTTGCAAGGAAAACATCTGTGACCTTAATTTTTCTAGACCACAGTATGGCTTCTGGAATAAATAGGAGTTGCATGTATTTTACAATGGTGACGTTGCAGCTGGTCCAGTTACTCAACAACATTCCTTACTTATGCAGTAATATTTGCCTGTTCCTCTAGTGTCAATTCTCTGTTAGTATTATAGTATACTTTGATAGCATTAAATAATAGACTTAGCACAGTTTGTTGAAGTTAAATGCTAAGAAGTATTATGCTCTCGGGACTTTGTTATTTCTTCCCATGTCTTTATGGGCGTAAATCCTGCAGTCCTGACTGTATTTATCATTAATTTTTGCTGTCCTGTACTGTATTATATTTATTCAGAAACAGTCTGAAACACAAGGGTGAATTTTTAAGGTGCCTTAAACTGACCTCTACTGAGGTCTTGAACTCTAAAGCCCAATTTATTAAAATACTGGTTTTCATTTCCAAGCTTTTCTGTGCACAGTCTGTAAACTCTGCATGCAAATAATGCATATAAGCAACTTTGTGCATAAATCATGCACAAAGGATGCACATAGGATGAAAAGTAACAGGTCTCGTTTTAATAGATGCTTTTGAAATGTGATTCTGCAATCCAAAATCTAAGCACATGTGAATAACCTTTGCTTTTTGCTTCAGTTAACACCTGTATTAGAAATTTTATACAATGATTATGATTATTCACAATTGCAATTTATTACATAATTTCCGCACCTAAAAGGCCTACAGAACTGGGTAACTCGGTAAGAATGGGGATAGCAGGACTGTCGATAGTCTCTATTAGATAGCTGTAAGTGAATATATTTTATGGTGGGAAGTAAAACAGAAAGATGCTGCCTGGTTATAGTTATTGTAAACATTCTCATCTTTCCCTTCCATAAAACAAAACAAAATAAAATAGCCGTAAAGTGCTCTGGAAGGCTAAATAACCCAGAAGTGCAGAGTGGGACTGAGAAACCTGCTCCCATATTTTCCCCATTTTAAATATAGCAATAAGAGAAAAAAAAAAAATCAGAACATTTGCTTGTCTTTAATATTTGTCAAAACTGTGAAGTAATTAAGGAATCAGTTTGCAGAGTTTGCATAAGGTGTGGCTTTTGAGTAACCGACTAAATTAACTATTTGGTTCTGTTTAACTACTAAAAGTTTTCTTTATTTCCTGTAAACTGCATGCAAATACTAAAAGCATCCTCGAATAGCAATGTATGTACCAACCACCTAAGAATCATAGCAGTATTTGTCAAATCCATGCATTTAAAAAGTCATGAGCTATTCCCCTGCTAAAACACCTAAGAACAGTTAAGTTGTTAAGCTAACTTTATAGTTGGGAGTGAGTTGCTATTGAAGCACTCAGTGGTCACATTTTCAGACTTTTTCTATAACCATAAAAGGTAGAAAATTTTAAGTCAAAGATGACATTCCCCAGCAGTAACCTGGTTTTAAACAGTGAGGGCTTTAACCAAAAAGAAACTTCATCACCCATCACCTAGGAAGGCATCTGTGCTAGAACTGCCAGAACTGGTAATACCACAACAAAGCCCATTTCCTCTAGCCCGAACCCAAGTAAGTATTCACAACTAAACAGGGATTACTGGAGTAAATAAATCCTGCAGGGCTGGGCTGAAAAATGCTTCTTACTCTTCAGAGCTTTGCTGTGCATAACTATCTTCTATGTTTTCTTCTGTGAAAGTATCTTTTACTTCTGTGCTTTTTATTTCTGCGTGTGAAGATGATTCATCTTCCGGCTTCCCTTCACTCTCACCAGCCTCTCTCTCTCCTGTGACATCTACGGCACTAGCCTCACCTGGCTCTGGCACCAAACAAACTGGCATGTCTAGCAGTCCTGTTTTGGGGTTTTCTGTATCCAAAATGAGCACTTGTGTTGTGTCTGCATTTTCAGTAGGATTATGAAAAAAGCTCTCAGTCCCTACCTCCACCGGGATGGCATGGCTATTCCCTGCTCCTCCTTCCTCCCCATCTAACCTTTTGCCTTCAGACACATTTTCTGTGTGTTCCTCTGCCTGCAACCTATCACTTTTGCAGCTTCCCACACCTGTGTACCAAATGCTTTGCTTGATCTCCACCTCTGCCTTTGCCTCCTGAGGCGTATCTGAGCTTTCCACCAGCCATTCTGCCTGTGCCATATTGCGGAGCCCCTCGGACACATTCTCTAAATTCGTACCATCTGTCCCCAAACTAGATGAAGATGGTCGGTCCTCCTTGAACTCTGTGCCTTCTGCTGCATCTTTATTCATCACCGTCTGGCTCACTTGAATTTCTGCTGCAGCCGTTTTGCTCAACTCGTTGTTCCCGTCATTGTGCTCCTGCAATTTTAACATCTCACCTTCACAAATCTCCTTTATGTTCTCAGCTGGAGTACCTGCTGGTATCTCAACCGTTACCATCAGCAAACTCCTTATCTCATTCACATCATCAGGTGATTTACAACTCTTTTCTTCTGACTTGCTTTCTTTTTCAGGATTATCCCCAAACCCTTCCTTCCCTGTGTTTTCATCCTGGGAGGTAACCCTTGTCTCAGCACTCGCTCCCTGGTCATTGCTTTCTTTTTCACTATCCTCTTCAAACCCTGTTCCTACCGTATTTTCACTCTGAGGTATTTCTTCTGTAATTTCTTTTTCTACCTTGATTTTCTTTTCAGCATTCCCTAAAATATCTGCTTCTACTACATTATCATGTGGGGAAGTCAGCTTTATCTCAGCAACTTCTTCCTGTGCTTTGCTCTCTTTTTCAGTGCCACCAACAAATGCAGCATCCGTTGACGTTTGACTCTCAGAGGTTACCTTTTCCTCCACTGCCCCTTCAGGTACCTTAAGTTCTTTTTCAGGGCTGGCTCCAAAATCTTTCACTGCACTTTCAGTCCCAGGAGCTACTTTTTCCTCCACAGCTTCTTGAGTCTTAAGCTCTTTTTCAGTGTTCACTACACACTCTGCTGTCACCATGCCTTCACTCTCTGAAGAACTTTTTTCATCCGTAACACCTTGTTTTGTAAGGGTAGCTGAAAGTGACTCCTGTTTTTCACCAATGTCTCTAATGACCACTTCTTCACTTTCACTTGCCTGATCACCAGCCATATTAACAGAAGTGACTGCCTCTTTGTCTGATGACTTTCTATCATCGGCATCCTTCTCCCAAGAAATTTTTTCTGTCACAATGAGCGTTTCATCACTTTGAGTTTCAGTGTCTGATGTCTCGGCTCGGGCGGAGGCAGGCTTCTTTGCAGGAGTGGTTTGTGCTGATCCTGAAGGGGTCTTGAGGTCCGTTAAGCTGGACACACTTTCACAGGGCAAATTCAAGTTATCTTCAAAGAGGTTGTGCTTCTTCATAATGGCAGCTTCTTTTATCACTAAATAAAACAGAAAGATCAAACTGTTTTGGAAAGACTGACAGAGGTGCCTTGAAGAAGGTGCGCTGTTTTTGCGAGTTTCTAATGTCACACATTTTGATATTACAGACAACAGTAATTTTCACTTTCAACTTGCTTTTTCCGTTTACATTTCTTGGGGGTGGGGGGTGTTTATCTGTTCTGAATAATGGAACGTCAATATTGATCTACCAATTGCTGTAATAGAAAACTACCAGAGGACCCACAATGCACAAAGGTAATGTTTCAATGCAGAAGTATTTACACTGAATATATGAATAAAAGTGTTCTTGTTACATTAATTAGTATACTGATATTTTTGAACAGGAGTGCTAAGGAGGAACTATTAAAATTTACTGTGCTATATAGACGCTTGTCTTTGATCTAGGTTCTAGACATACAGACAGATCCAGAGAGATACAAGTATTTTATACATCTGTATATGCTATTAAAAACAGTTTAGTTTTCTGACACAAAAGCAGAGAGATGTGCAGGGAGTACTGCACTGGCATCAGTGATGTACTGGAAACTGCATCCAGTGGTACATTTCATTTGGGGAAATTAATTTTTGCTGCCATTAGATATCACCAAATCTTTGCAAATAAGAGCGTATTTCACTCCTTGGCCCAGGGAATCAAGATAAAATGAAGTTGGCATAATTACATTTTGTTAGAAATAGGCTTGTGCCAAGCTTTCACTTTGAGTTTCCCAGGTTTAGTAAAGCTGACCCATAATTCAGACTTTAGTGCTTGCCGCTCATCTTTAGGGAGCTAAATGAAAATACTGTAGCATTGTACACACCAGTCTTCAGGAAAGTGGGACCTGGGTCTGAAACAGCCAAGTTAGGGGTCTGGGAGCTCTGAAGCAAGATCTCACCAGCCAACAGCCGAAATGTTATTACTGTTACCTCAAAAATGTTCTCACCTTTCAGGGTTTCTTCAAGCAATGTCTGATATAAAATCTCTTCATACACATTCTCTACTTGGATCACACTAGTGTAGTCAGCAAAAATGAACTGCTCGTATTTCTGCAGCTCCTGTGCAGACAGAGAAGAAAGAAACAAATAAATAAAAATGAGAGATTCTGAGAGTCCTACTTCAACAGAGCAGGTCTTGCAATGCTCCTTGCTGACTCTTGAGGTCAACTGTTTCAACTATGACTAAATGAACTATGTATGTTCACAATTTATTATGCACTTATCAAACAGTATTCTTGCACTACAGTTCCATTTAAAAGCGCTATAGATCACTGTTGTCTGCACAATTCTGGAATAAATAGCTGGTGAGCAAATGCCGCACTCACTGTTTGTCCAAGGAGGCAAATCCACAGTGAGCACGGGAAATACAGGGTTTGGTTTTGTTTTCCTAATAGGTGTGTAACATTTTTAGCTTACTCATTTATACGCAATAGGCTGTCTAGACAATAATGGAGTCATTATCACTAAACAGCTGCTTGTTGGTCTATAAAAAATAAATAAAGTGACCTCTGCCCACTTCTAGAAGAGGCGACCACATACAAACATCAGGAAGTTTCCAAGTAAAAGGTCAAGACTTTACTGGGCATGTCAGTTGTGCCCCACATTTGCTTCTAGAGCTGGCTGCTCATTTCTGCAGAGGCACAAATGCAAAAGGCTTGTGGGAAATTAAACAGAAAGGGCTTGTGGGAAGTTTGCACCACCACTGCTTCCTCCGTCCTGTATGAGAGAGACATGATGTGGGCCTTCCCCATCTCCACATATATTCAAGGTGATGAAATGCTTGCCCCTGTGCATAGACACCATGTCTTGAAGGCACTGCTGACACTCTGCAAGAGATTATTATTCTGGGGGTAGTAAAGAAAGTAGAGTGACATACAGAAGAGGGTGATTTTCAATATATTTTTGAAAGTTGTATGTTTTAATAATCAAAGATTCGCAAGCATAACTTGGTAAAACACTTGATTTTAAACTTGTTTTTGAAACTGAAACAAGCTGGAGAGCATCAGCAAGAGCAGCATGCTGTGGGTGAGAGCTTACAGTCTCCGGGAACATCAAGGGAAACAAAAGTGCAGAGAGGCAGGGATGGCTTAGGGCAGTCATCTTTCAGCAGGTAGAGTGAAACGCAAGAGGATATGCATGGGCTTCAAGAAGGGTACAGACTATTTATTTTGAGCCAAGGTGAACAGCATTCCAGTTGGTCCCTGATGTAGGCACACTGATAGCACCTCCTTGAAACTCTGGTAGCCGCATTTGTGGAGTACTAACCTACCCGTACGATTAAGGGCAACGGAGATCGTCTCTGTATGTATGTTTCCTGATTGTCGATGCAATCACTTCCATTTAAGATCACTGAAAGCAAGCACATGGCCTGTCTGCTTGCTGCTCCTGCTGCCCAGGCAGGCATTTGGCTTTGAAGGAGGTCATCAGCAGAGGCTGTGTACAGTCACAGCCGTGCCTCAGAGTGCTGCTGGAAAGTGCCCTGGCCCACGGGCTGAATTTCAGCCTGCAGTAGGGCTGCTGAACGCAAAGACAAGCCATAACCTACAATTATAACTGTCAAGAAGAGTCCAGTTTGAGGGGACTTCAGATCTCTAGGGAAGAAATGAAACAGGGATGGGCAAAGGCCTGCAACTATCTTTGAGAAGGCAAGCTGTATATACAGTTTCCCTGTTTCCTGAAATCGTCCTTATGTTCCACATCTACCCAATCCACGAACTGGCAAATCTAAGCATCATTTGGCTGAGCAGGCAGCCAATCCGCACAACTCTCTGAGAGAAAACAGCTTTACAGAGTTGAGGATTTACTGCCGAAGTGTTAATCCTTCCATGCCTTTTATTACTGTTTTTTTTTTTTTTAATCACAGAAACCTACTGGTTTGCACGTTGAAGCCAGTGTCTTTTGCATTGTGGGCAAAGTAATCTGTACCAGCGCTTCTTGAAATATCTTCTTCCGGATAGTGCTGCTGTCATAATCATATTGCTGTCAAAACAGACAAAAAGAGAAACAAACCCAAATGTGTTTGGGGTTATTAATCACTCATAGGAGGAACTGATTCTTGTTGTCCTGTAACTGGTGATGGGTGAATCCCAAAGGATACCACATCACGGGTGCACTCAGGGGTTTGAACTCCCATGCAGGTTATTCCAGCTTTTATAAAACTATGCTAAAATCTGGTTTTCTGGGATCTCCCTTCCTTCAATTTTATAGTTAGGCTAGAAACAGCCCCCTAATTGCTCTCTCCAGGTATTTCAGCATTGCCTCTTCCAAGACTAATGAATTCTAGGGGCAGCTAATAAAAAATTATTTACCCAGATCCATAGCATCATATCCAGCTGATTTAATTGCAGCTAAAGGAACTGCACATGTAAATACTTTTACAGGTGTCTGCTCAGAACTAGGTTTTACCCCCAAAATGAGCAGCTTTGCTAAGTGCCACGAAGTCTGTATTTCCAGCTGGATGGTAAGAGGTATCTTCTTTCAAATACTGAGATAAATTCACATAAAATACATTCTCAGTTTCTGAAAAGGCAGAACCCAAGGTCTTCCTGTGCAAATGCTGCTATATTACATTTACCTTCAGTACTCTCAGCTTGACTTTTTCAATGGTTGTTGCAACTTTCGCTGAGTCTGCCTGGTGACTTGGAGAGAACAACTGCTCAAAAGTATAAACTGCATTTTCCATCAGCTAAAAACAGTAATTGAAAAAATCTGTTAAAGACCAGTAACACAAAATTCCTACATACATAAAGAAGCATGATAAATGTAACTGTTAACTTAAATTGTGGTTTTGAGAAGGTGAAATGGAGAAAGAGGCGTACAATCAGTAAATATTTCAAGTACTTTAAATTATTGTGGAAGGAGAAAAAAAGCCGTGTTTAGTTTAGATTACAACACTCAGTTTTGGAATGGAAAACTAAGAAGAACATTACCTAATGCAAGAGAATAAGAAATTGAAAAAACCTCAACTTCTATCCTGAGTTTACAGGCAGGTCAATATTAGGAAGTCTGCTAAAGTACCTAAACAGTTACAGCAGCAAACTTACTCAGAACAGATTAATTTATATTGTCCAAAAATCTTCTTCTGTATTTCAGCTCTCTGAAGGCTAACGTGCCCAGAAATGTTGCAAAAAATAAAGAAAACTAAGCTTTGGTATCATTATTGTACTATCATAGCTTTCTTGTATAGCTTTAATCTCATGTCACCATCCAAAATGATGGTGACAAAAAGTAGAATTGATAATCTACATAAAAAGGTCACAGACAAAACTCATTATCCCTAATAAGAAGACTCCCATTGACTCCTACCAGATTCTAATGGTCTTATTCATTAATACTGCAGATAATTTTTTTAAAAGAGTAATTCATCAGTAGCTTTCCTTATAATACAAATAATTATCAGCAAAAATCACACAGTGCAGTAATTTCTCACAGAATCATATTAGGCTGGCATTTGCTATATTTTCAGGTTATCCAGAGATCCATTAAAAATATTAAACCCCCTACTCTGAAAAGATATTTCAGAAAAACAGTTCCGCAAGCAGTAATTATGCCTACTTAATGAGGTTTCTGCCTTTTTTAGCTAAGTGTTTCCATTCCGATTTTAATATATTCTTATGAAGAAGTACAGGGACATCCACAGGGAGGCTGTCCATAGGGCCTAGTCCTTCTTTGCATCACATGGGACCATCCCAGCCATATACTATAGAGGACTTCCTGTAGTTTGTAAATGAATATGTACATACTTATAGATAAGCCATGCTTTTAATTCCTCCTTGGCTAGTAATATTTTCATGAATGAAAATATGCAGTGACAAAAGTTGAAGGCCGATTTTTATAACTGACTTTGCAGATAACATAGGATAAACAGAAATGGAGAAGATGGAGGTTTACTCAATTTGTGCGTGCATCACAAGGCTGTATAGTAAATGCTCATGCACTGCAAGACCTTGGATACAAGAAAAAGACAGGATCAGCGTGGAGTTAAATCTGAGGCTAACAAAAAGATGAACTACTCAATTTTTATTTCAATTTTTATTTAAAGCAAATCATAAATTGGCATAGTTCTGGTCAAGTCACTAAAGCTGCTTTATTCATGCCAGTTGAGCACTTGGCCACTAGAGGATGCCAAGCACCCAAGCCAAGGAATTCTGCTCCAGCCTCCACCCGAGTTAAGAGTTAAACCAAATGCTTTCTTTATGTTAAGACTACTCAAGTATAAACATGTCTGACCTTACTTATTAATAAAATAAATGCCCATGGACACAAAGTGAAGCTACTTACTATTTTTATGAGAGAAATACTAGTCTTTTAAAGAGAGAGAAGCAGTAACAGCATTTTTTAGAACAACTTGTGCTTTAAGTTAACTTATTTACTGTAAATTTTGACTCATGTTCTGTTCAGAAAAAAGCACCACTTGGTTTGTACGGGATCTGTTCTCTCTCTACTTCTTTGTCTTGACTCATGGTCTTCACTTACTGGAAGACTTTTATTTGGCAGCATTTTGGAATGGTATCCCCTGAAAGACCCAGATACGAAATCAGAATTTTATTTCTGAATAATTCCTTGGCTGCTGGTCATGGCTGTTTAGGAAAACCCTATCCCAGCACTGTGCTAGAGACTCACTTTCCATATTCATAACTCCCACTCCGTAGAACTGGACCAGCTCCATTTCACAAGATTACCGACTAGATTATTTAGTTTCTCAGCTACAGATTACAGTCACAGGATCCAACATAGAGCTACAAGGCCAAATCTGCCTTGTGATCTCGCAATCAAAAGAAGTTTACTGGCCAGCTCTTAACAGATTTCTGGCCAGGCATCCAGAAGAAATAAAAGCAAAGCAAAATTATAGCCTATACCAATACACACTAGAAGGGAAAAAGAGGTGGAGTTAATTTTTCATTTGAAATGTTGTAGTCACTTCAAGCATTCCCATGAGAAGTAAAGTTGGTTAAAGCACCTACATACAGCTACATCCTGAGACATCATCTGTGTCCAAGTAATTGCCAGTTTCTAATATAAATTGCCTTACTTTATATTAATGAGAAAACAAACTACCAACAAGGAGACATTCCATTTTGGTAAGACCCCTCCCAAAAAATCAACTCTCGAGAATGGAAATCAGGTAGATTTTAGCCACCCCATTGGTTACAAGCAAAGTTTTCTCAGGTGCTGAGACACTGAGAATTCAGAACATGAAAATTCAGGAGAAGAGATGATCCATCCAAAGATTTGTGTGCCTTGCTAAGACTCAAACACAAGCAACCTCACAAACATAAATGTCAAACAGCTTCTAGCTGTGATTTTATAAGGTTTTGTTATCTGTAATTTGATTGAGAGATATTCTGGGACTCTTGCACAGCTGTTTATCAAGATTACTTTGAAGCAGATTAGAAGGACAAACCTAACCTGTTCTCCCAGAAGGAAAAACTGGATCTTACAGTACCTCTTGCATGAAGTTCTGTGTCCTCTGAATCACAAAATCAATGTGATAGACCTTGAAGCGACTCTTGAGGTCTTGAAGGAGCTCTTGGAGGAGGTTCACTTTCAGATAGCAGGGCTCCATTTTCACAGAGTTGAATGGTAAGTTCGTAAGCTGATCCACATTCTGCATTCCAGTGGAGGAAGAACAGGTTTAAAGAGAAAGCAACCAGAAGCAATTTTTTAATAGAGAATGTTACAGTGGCCCTAAGACAAATTCTGGTATCTACACTCTAGTTGCACAAATACCGTAAGACTTTCTAAATGACAAAACTGAGCACTAACATACTACAACCTGGGAAAGCAAATAGTGCTGTGAGCCAAGTTCTAGCTAGAAGGTCCTTGTGCTAATGTAAAAGGCTCCAAATACATTTTTGTCTTACCTCCTTTAGCTTTGTGATATCATTGGTCTTCTGGAAGTCCTGGATGATTTCATTAACTTCTTTATCAAAAAGTGAGCGGACTTCAGTGAATCCAGAACTCACTGGACCCATGAGCTCCTCTAATATGGATGTGAGAAATGGCTGGATATTTTCTGCGCAGCATTTCTGGGCAGGCTCAGAAACAGTGGCTGGAGTGTCAGACAATACAACGGTTGCATTTAGGCTACTAAGAGATATAGTGAAAAAAGTAATCGGAACTGATTTACTTTACATGAATTAAACTACTCCATATTTTTGCCTGGAGTCGCACCTCTGCAAAGATTATGAAGGTGATGAAGGAGAGTTTATAGCTTTATGAGTGACAATGAAACATCTTTTCCCATGCCCCACCTAACCAAATGCTAGCAGCTTGGGGGCAATGTTAGAGCAGAGGAAAGGACAGCTCTAAGTATTGATACGTACTGGGAGGTTTGCACAGAGCATGGCCACGGTGACTCTATAAGGAGGCTCCGAACTTGGTACACTACAGTTCACTGAAAGCATCTTAGTCTGGTATGTGAGAATATCAATAGAACATCCTGAGTTTTATCAAAACAGTTCCTAAATTATCAGCTATTTATTTATTTGCTAGCTTAAGCAACATCATCTAATGTTTTGCCTGTTTTTTACACTCATTTTTATATTCATAGCAAAATTACAGTTACTTCACATTAGTTTAAAATCACCTAAGAAGACCTTTGGTTTAAGTATTCTTTGGTAGCCTATGAATTTGTCACATTTGTCACAGAACCTGCTTTTGTGGCACATTCCTAGACATCCGGTCAAAACCACTACACTTTTAATTATGCTCATGTGACCTATATCTTCATTACAGGAGGCTGTCCACATGAAAATGAAAGCAGAATTAGCAACTCTAATCAGGATACTCAAAACCTGTCAGGTCTAGCTCCAACTTGAGAAGACCCGGTATTTTCACAAACACAGCAGCCAAAGGTATCAGTTCCCATTAAAGGCAGCAGAGGCTCAAAGCATTTGTTTTCTGAAATCAGTGTCTCCAGTTAGATTTTTTAAAATGTACAAGGATTTCAAAACAATGATATCTGGCAATTGGAGCAACACAATGGGAAACATTAAAAAATTGTTTCAAAACACAGCTGTACCTCCACTAACCTTTGATTTTTCCAGCTAAGAAGTTCTTGGAGTTCAGAATCTGATCCATGTCTGAACGAATGGTTCCTTCAAGAGTTTTTGCAAAATCTCTGCATTCTTCTTTCAAGGTACTTAATCCTTCTGACACCTGCTGCTGGACTAAGCCATAAGTTTCTTCTACGATCTAAATCCAAATTAAATTGAGAAGTGTAGATCAGAATCAGCACAAACAGACATCTGCTATGAGAAACAACTACACTGCAAATATCAGTACTTACACCAAACCAGGCTCGCTTCCTGTCATTCCTCTTTCCTTTCATTTTTGGCAGCATCATCGTCTGAAGGTTAGGCAGGAGTTCCTCCATCACAAGGTTGCTCAGGATCTATATGGTCAGAAGATTAAAATTACAAGTTCACACACTGTTCTTCATCTGAAAACTGAGCACTTGCATCGCAGAATAATGTACAAACACAGGCAACCTCAAACATACAATGGCTTAGCTATCCCAGGCTGCCAGGAGGATGGGATTTAAAATTTTAGGTATGCCTGAAGGAAGCATTTCATCTGAAGCATTTTTCACTGAAAGACTTTGAGAGGCCATACAACAATTGACAACAGATGAACTAAGATGCTGAACTAAGATGTTCATTAAAATTTACTGCATGCTATTATGAAACTGGCACATGCAAATCAATGGAACTAAAATGATTGATATCAACTGAGCAACCAGATCAAAAACATTTTAAAAGTTGGTTTGCTGACTGCTGCTTCCCCAAACTGACCTTGTTCTGGGACACTCACACTCTCCCAGAGGACATATCACTGAGGATAAATTGTTCTAGAGAGTCATCAGACAAAGGATGCTTTTAATAGGAAGATAATTGGCCAAACCAAGAAATATGTGACTGTACCAATGTGGATCTCTAGCACTCTTTCAGGTGACCAACTTCACAAGAAAAGAAGGAAATCCCAGGAAAAACAGGATGTAGGACAGAAATGTGGGTAATCTGTGAATCAAATAATTCTACTCTATCTGATTTTTTTTTCAAAAAAATGTAACATGATCCAATATTCATTACCTCCAGCCTAATTCTGAGGCAAAAAGGATAAAATAAATAGCTGTTGGAGTTTGTGAAAAACTTTTCAAGCAATTACTTTTGTCAGTAAAAGACAGCTATATTGGTCTAAACCCAGTAAAACTTTCACACTGTAGAATTCATATACGTTGAAGTCTCCTCCCAACACTCCAGATTCTTGAACAAAAAATACATAATGTATAACCTAAGAAGATAATCTGTAACAAAGGTGCACCACAGCAGAAAGGTAGTGGGAAGAAAAGTGTCAAAGGGACTTCTACACATCAAGCATTCATGACAGAATGTAGGAAACTGAGGAAAAGGTCTCATTGCCCCAGTTTTTATTATTTCTGTAAGTATATTGTTGGTCTATCATTGCTGTATATTTCTAAATTGACACAGTACTTTTCTCCCTCAAGAACATTTTCACTTTGAAACAGAGTTCAGTGGTCACAGAAGAGATGCATTACCCCCTCTGATCCCAGCATCTAACTGGTACTTCAGTCTTGCAGATGGTTCCAATTAGAAAGAAAAGACATCAGACTGGGAATACAGATGATATCAGTTTGGGGGAGTGGTCAGTATGCTGGCAAGCAAAGCTGCTATTCAGAGGGACCTAGATGGGCTGAACAAATGGGTGGACAAAAAACTCATGAAGTTCAGTGAAAGCAAATGCATGGTCCAACATCTGGGGTGGAACAATCCCACGCACCAGTATAAGCTGGCAAGAACTGTCTGGAAAGCAGTTTTGCAGAAAAGGACTTGGGCATCCTGGTGGACAAGAAATTCAGCATTGGTCTGCAAGGTGTCCTCACAGCAAAGGGCAACAGCAGGTCGAGGGAGAAGAATGTTCCCCTTTATTCAGTGCCTGTCAGACTGCAACTGGAGCAGTGTCCAGTTTTGGGCTGCAAAGTCTCACAAAGTATGTAGTCCTCTTTCCTCCCCAGTGGGACTCGAACAGAGGTTTTGCTAACTGATGCAGTTTTGAACCCTGCTCTTTTCCTTGCTTCGATAACAGCCCAGCACCGTCCTCATTCAAGGATCACTGCCCTGATGCACCCAGCTGCTGGCTGAGCCAATACAGAATGCAAAAAACACGATTCAACTTTACATTTTCATCATGCCAGTGCTTTTTCATTTGTGCCATTTCATTTGTGCCAGTGCTTCCTGACATTCAACCTCACGTATTACAGCTGCCTGAGTGCGTTTAAGGCATGCACCACAAACATGATAGGGAAATGGCAGGAATTTAGACAGTAAAAGTAAGAAAGGGCTCTGACTGCATGCCACATAGTGTAAAACAGAGTACTTCCTGGGCATAGGCCAGCCCCTACAGAAATATACCATACAATACCCTACTTTTTAATATAACTCTAAAATACCTGTAATGTGCAATACCCTATTATTTTTGTTTCATATAACTTAAGTATCACTCAAATTCAGCTACACTGACTCAAATACCTGTCAAAACCAGTTGGCTAATTCAGGTCCTAAACTAATGAGTCACTTAAAAAAGTGACAAATAACCCAAACTGAAGCACCACAAAACAAATAATAAATGTGACAATGGATCAAACATATCCTGAAGAATCTGAGCTCTCTGGAAACATTTTTAGGAATGCTGGATTGGCTTTATGTTTCTACACTGAAAGGTACACTGCAGGCATTTGGGGTTTTTTAATCCCTTATTCAGCTATCCTTGATTTACCAGTATGTTATTTCTACTACATGTATATTCAAGTAGTACTGATCAAGGGAGTTACGCTAGTATAAAACTGGTGCATTGTAGTGCTCTCACTATGTGGCTGTATTTTAGCTCCTAACAAGCATTGTCAAAAATTTCTTGGTTTTAATCCTGTATTTCAGCACTTAACTTACAGAAATACCATCTACAATTGAATTTAGCCTCTGTTAGTAATGAAATCTTAAAAATTAAAAAGAAAACAAAACCATGAAAAGGAACTTTTATGACACAAAAAAATTTAGTAGGTCTTCAGCTAAGTGACTGAGTACTTGTTAATATTACAACCATGTTGCAGTACCTAGGCAGAACTGCGTGAGCTAATGCTGTGGAGACTCTGTCATTGCAAATGAATGTCAGGGAATATATTTATTGGCATTCTGCAGAGATTTTCAAACAACAAATTGTAGCTTGCTTGTTCCAAACCATTCACTTAGCTTGGATGTTTGCCTAAAATAATTATTATACTTGGTCAAAGCAGGCATAATAACACACTATACTTACAGAATGAATTATTACTAAGAAGATAATAGCGTAACTAGTCTGGATGTCTTCTGATTACAGTTCTCTTGAGGTATATGGGTTATGAGTAAGTAGTTGGCAAGCAACAGGAAAAACAAAACATAAAGTGAAACTAGCACCATAGGACCCAGACCCTGAGCTTAGCACCTTATTTCTGAAGAACTGAAGTACACAAATTGTTGGTGTTTAAGTGTGACTGTTACTATGCAAGACACAGATGTCTGGCACAATAAGTAGGTCTACTAGTTTATCGGCTCAGAACTAAAAGCTTCATTCCCAAAGAACGGGGAAAAGCAAAATGAAGAGATTCTTCAAAATTTATGTTTAGCTGCTATTCTGTTCATCGTAAGCCTGATCTCCTATGATGGCATCTGGAGGCATTAGAAGACAATAAACAGGAAACTCTTTTGTTTAGTAACAAAGGTAACAGGAACAGAAGAAAAAATATCTCTTACCTGCAAAATAGCTGTCATGAAAGACAGAAAAACAGAGCACAGCCCAGCGCAACTGACAGCGAGTATCTGCTGCATACAAACTGTGGGTTCTGAGTTTGGTGTGTATTGCTTTTGGTCTCACTGATTTAACAAAACTATAAACAGTGGCAAATGTGGTAGCAAGATGTTAGCAAGTGCCTTGTTTTAGACACAGCGTTTATTCACCAGTTGACCCCATGGCATAAAATTAAAGTAGATGTATCAGGTTTTTGTGGAAATGTGGCCATCCCTACATTCCAGCACAACACAACTTTAGTTCACAGCACATTTTCTTTCACTTTCTAGCAAAAAACTCAAAATGGATTTTATTATAAAAGAATTATCACTTAACATATCAGTAAGAAGTATCTTGAAATCTTGGGTATTTCTACCAACTAGATTTTCTTTTTAAAAATGCCATTTTTTTCCCAAGAGGCTTTACAGCCTTCGCTATCCTCAGAGCTGCCATATCCAAAGCCAAAAAAAAAAATCATGATGATATTCTTTTACCTCTTTTTCATTGCCAGTTATCATTTCCCATGTCCCATAGTGGCCTTTCTCCTGCCGGAAGAATTGAATGGCTTCTAAGAACGCCTCAACTTCATACGTGGTCTGCTTGAGAAAATCTAAAGAGAACAAAAAAGGATTTACCCATAAATAACCTTTAAAAAACAACCATCCTTTTTTGATCCATTTTCCTGTTCCACGTGCATCTAGCTGTAATATTTTTAAATCAATTACTAAACCTGAAGACCTTGGCCTTTCATTAAGATTTAGAAGCATGATGTTGAACTATAATATTGCATAGATGAGCTATCACAAGCCATCCCATCTAAGCAGATAAGTTAAACCAACACCAGCAAATGTTAATACAGAGCACATGATAAGTTTTACAGCAGCAAGCCTTGTCTGTGGTAGACTTTGATAAGGCAGTCATTAACATATGAAAGCTCATCCCTTGCCTTTATATCTATGAGCAGTGTAAGATGGTATGTGGGAAGACTTTGACAGAACGTACCACAGCCAAGAGTTGGGAGATTCTGCTTCTTTAATTTAAGATAAGAATTAGGAATTTAAGATAATGATAGTCATCTGATTGTGGCATGTTGCACACCCTTGATACATTGCTAAACCCTGAGTTAACACTTCCCAATAATCTCTTATTTCCTTTGTTTTATTAAGGAACTGATTATCAAGATGATTTTTCATGGACATACAATAAAACAGACCTGGACAAAGCAAGCACCATGCTCATACCAATTAAGCACAAAAACTTCTGACAAAATCATGCTGCTTTCCCTAAATATTTCAGGAATGTTTAACCACAGCTCTGGAGTATCTGGTTATCATCCACAGCTACTGCTGCTAGATGGTAGCTCTTCCCAAGAACAACGTGGTAGCCTGGGGACACTGTTGTACAAATGAGACCACAGCACAAAAAAACCTGAGAAGTGGCTGAGCTAGTTTGCTCTTAGAAACTCCAGACAACCAGTCGTGCAACAGAAATTACATTTGCTCCTTCCAAGCCACTGAAGGCTTTCAAGAGAGTTGCAGCCAACACTTTCCTTCACATGAGAGCGCACAAAAGCACAGCTAATTAAGACTGCAACAGCAGTTACACAGCAGAACTAGTTTGTCATGATTTGGTGAGAAACAGTCCCTTCTGCCTCAGAACGTGGAAAAGGTCCTTAGAGCACTCAGGCTGCTTAACAAACCTGAGTAAGAAAAACCACCACTGAAATACTTCAGGAATTCAAGTGCTGTGTCTTTGCTATGAAACAGAGCTTCAGGATTATTGTTAGAATTATTCGTAAGGCAAAAACAAAGCCACAATGGTTTATTGTCCCCTCTTCAAGGTTATCCACTTGCAGCCTTGATCAGCTGAAGTCCTGCTGTGCAGGTATTAGGGAAGAAGGGAGGGAAGAAGAAAGTTAATTCTCTCAAAGGTAAGTATGCTGCTTTAAAAGATACTGATATGTATAAACAATTGTTATGTGAAGAGTCTGAGAATAAGTTCTCAAGCCTTGCCTGTCAAGCAAAACACTTTTGACTTGTTCATGAAACTTTTAAAGAGAGAAGCTTAATAGGAGGCTTGCATACATGCCAAGGGCAATACATGGATTATACAAGTTATGGTAAACACGAAGGATTAACACTACAGTAATGCCTGAAATGTCTCCTCCATGCGCTTTACACAAAAATGAAAGCTACAGAAGCCTACAATTAATTTAATCAATGCCTCACTATGACTGCTGCTTGAAAACAGCACTGTATAGATTTTATCTATTGGCGGGCAATGAGGTTTCAGATCTGCTAAGAGCCCAAATGTCAGAATTTGCCCTTTCAGAGTTTCCCCTAAGCATAATAATTACTTCATGAAGGTATATTATACATACTGAGGTGCACCGAACTCTCTCTTGGTGCCACTCTATAGATACCATCCCTATTTTGCAGATATTTGGAGGTCCAGAGAGATCACACAATTTCTTCAAGCTGCTACCTCTATGATTTACAGCATTTTTAATAGCAAGCCACAAACCAGGATGCTAAACTATCAGTAAAAGAGTTTAAGTCAGGCTGTTCACTGCCAAGAGAACATCATCTGACAGCAGCTTTAATGAAAGAATGGAATATTCCACCTGAGAAACTGGTGGTGTTGCACCTGAAAGCTTTTGTCCTCCCAAAATTAAACTCTGAGTATTTTGATGAGAAGAGGGCTGGGCTTGGCTGGAGGAAGGGAAAACTACAGTTCCTGCAGCCATCTGATCATGACTCACGTGTTTTCTTTCTTCGCAGCTGTGCTCCCTCCTAACCAAAAGGGACAACAGACCATCCAAAGGGCTTGATCTTGGACCTGCTGAGATGATGATGATGCACCAGTGCTGACAAGAGTCTGCCCTCTAAGATCATCAAGTTTTAACTCCAAGATCAAGGGACTATTTTCTCTCTGTTCTGATTGGCCCCAACCCCATAGAGAAGTGGGAAGAAGGTGCTAAAAATCCAAAAGTGATTCATTTGAATAGTTCATGGGAAAAATATCAAGCTGTAAGTACCATAAAATCCCAATCACACATTCTTTCCTATGCCAGTAAACACAGGAGAAAAACACAATTATAGCAGTCTTACTACAAACCCAGCTCAAAGTAGAAAGGAAGCTTTATCCTTCAAGGCTACTACAATTGCTTAATTTAAGCAATTTCATTCTCACTTCCCATAGGAGGAAAAGATTGCATCAGCAATAAGGCACTGAACAACTAGATCCATCCAGTGTTGGGCTGTGCAGAAGCTGTTGGTGAGGCATACAAGACAGAGGCACATTCATGGGATATAGCTCAAGAAAAGGGAATTGTGCCCAAGCTGAAAGGAGCCGTGGTGCACATCCTCCAAGATTTCAGCAGGGAAGAGCCAGGGCTTCTGTAAATCAGATCTAGCAGTTTATGAAAAGGCTAGAGAACTGCAACTGGCTTGGCAACCAGCACCGTTATGCCAGAGCAAAGCAAGAAAAACAATGAATAAGCTGTTGGGGTAGCCCTGTTTGCGTGCAAGAGCGAGGATGGTGCGTGGGAGATGGAAGCAGATGCTGCAGCTGCAAACAGGGCAGGTGGTAAACCCCAGTGGTATCAGGAACTATTGTTCATCAGCAGAAAGGACAACGTGTGCTTCACTCTCCTGAACGCCCTCACAGGGGCTTCCCCTTCAACAAAACTGGATGGCATCTACCTATAATGAGTGATGCATCTGTCCCTGCTGTTTGTAGAAAGTAGTATGTTAGGGGAGCTTGGTGGTGTGGTGGTTGTAGGTCATCCTTATCCAACTCCCATACAAAGCCATAAAGTTTACTGAATGTCCTCCAGCAAAAGGCCAGTGAGGCATTACAGGTACCCAGACTGAGGCTATGTGCTTAATCCAAACAGGTCTGCACTTGGAAAATTACCCAAGCAGCTTCTCCAGCTGCTAATGAATATAATATCATCTTATTTGTGGAGAGCAAAACAAAATTCTGTTTGTTCTGTTTAATTTTAAAATAAGAAAACCCACCTAGAGACTCTATCTTTACATATCCAAGTGTGGAGCCTAATTTTAATGACAGATATTGCTAACCACAGATTCCTTTTATAAACGTAACAGAATAACTGCTCTAAAGCTCCTTTTTAAAAGATGGAAGGACATCTGGAAACACCATTACTTTATAAATCTCCCCAAATTTGCACATCTCATAAAGGCACGGCTGAGTTTGTTCAGTACTGCAGCAAGCTGCCTGGAGGAATGAGCTTCCTTGCAGCATATAAACAGCCTAAATCCCTCTTTTAAAAAAAAAAATATGTCAAATCCTAACTCATCAAAATGATACACAGAGGACCAGGCTACTTGACACCCACCGAGTGCACTTACACCTGGTGCATAATGTTAACTTAGAGGTTCCTGTTCCTAATTCCAGCTGTATCCAATGTTGCAGCTGCTGTGGGACTTGCAGTCTCCCAACAAGGTGCTCCAGGCTATGAGCTGTTGCTCCTTCTCTGTCACTTGGCAGATGGATGTTTGGTCATACAGGCGAGAAATGAGGAAATCTTCAGTCCCAAGTTCCTACGTGCTCTCCCACCCACGGCAGGACAGCTGCACCTTTGAAGATGGACACGTTGCTAGCACACGGTTTAAAAGCCCCTCAGGAGAGGTTATCTGAACAATTTTTCTGACTCACTAACACTTCTTCTCAAGACAGCAGTGGAATTTAATTGCCCTGGTGAATTTGGTCTTGTCCGTAGCCATAGATTGACCAGTCTTACGTCAGTCAAAACACTGAAGACCTCCATGCAAAAACTTCTATAAATACGTCTCATTACAAGAAAGGATGAGTGCCGAAGACCTCACTGCCTCTAGCTAAAATGGTGTTTTTTCAGCAAATCCAGACAATATGAAATCTGTATTCAAACATTCCAGTTCAAATTTTGTATCTGTATGTACTGCAGACTGCTGCATTGGGTCTCTTGCTGTGCTTTGTAGCAGAAAGCTCAAAACCAGTTGATGTTTAATTGCTTATGTGTTGTTTTTTCTTAGTTACAATCAAAGGAAGATGCCTCTTCAACATTACATATCCTAACCTGCCATGCTAGCTGTTAAAAAGTATTTCAATATCCACTTTAAACTCCGTGCTCCTCTGAACAATAATTGTCATTAATGAAGCTATTCAAACTCATTATTGCAGCATGAAAGAGGCTAAAATGGTCATCAGACAACAGGAACGCCAGTAGGCATTTGAAGACAGACAACGTATCATTGAAGCCCTTAACAAATGCAATGGCAACAAGTCGAGTCTTCGTATAACTAGCAGCAAGCTCATTTCTGTATCACTTGTGCAACCGCATGGAAAAGTCTGTGTTTGGGAAGAACAGGGAAATGTTTCTCCAGCTCCCAATGGGACTTCAGTCAGATGCGATAACCAGACAGCAAGAATTTTCCACCTCCCAGAACTGATGGGGTGGTTTGCTCTACTGAGACACCAGTGGTTCACAGTTCCCTTCTGCGTCTTGGCTAATTCTGCAAAATGAGACTCGCTGATTTTTGGATGCAGCAGCAGCATTAGCATGTTAAACTGTTCAGAGAGCCAAGGAACTGCAGTCAGGATGTT